ATGGTGGGTTTTTGGGGTGGGCCTGGTGGGCTTTTGGGGGGGGAGCACAAAGGGGATGTGTTGGCTGCATGGGTTTGCCAAAGTTTGTGGGTGATTTTGAGGTGCTTTCAAAAATTTAATGGTTCTAAGGGTCCCTTTTTGGGGTGGGCATGGTGGGCTTTTGGGGTGGGAGCACAAAGGGGATGTGTTGGCTGCATGGGTTTGCCAAAGTTTGTGGGTGATTGTTGAGGTGCTTCCAAAAATTCATCGTTCTAAGGGTCCCTGTTTGGGGTGGGAGAGGGTCCCAGGAAAATGTCACCTGGGCCAGGGGATGCTTGGGAAAGGGTCTGGGAACAGGTCACCAAATTCCAGAGACTGACACCCCAATTCCTGGGAGATTTTGGGATGATTCCCAGGGGACAGTTTGGGATGATTCCTGAGGGAACTTAGGAGGATTCCTGGGAGATTTTGGGATGATTCCCAGGGGAGACTTTGGGATGATTCCCAAGAGAACTGTGACAATTCCCAGAACAACTCCAGCAATTCCCCCCATCCCTTTCCCCCTCCCACCTCCTCTGGGACTCCCCCTCTCCTTTTACCACCCCCCTGTCCCTTTTTCCCACTTTTCCCCCGTTTTCCCTCTTTTCCAGGCCAAGTTCCTGCCCAACAGCGGTGACTCCACGCTGGCCATGTGTGCCCGGGACGGGCAGGTGCGCGTGGCCGAGCTCTCGGCCACCCAGTGCTGCCGCAGCACCAAGCGCGTGGCCCAGCACAAGGGGGCTTCCCACAAGGTGAGGGGGGCTTGGGAATGCCAAATCCCGGGATTTGGGGTGCTTGGGAATGGGGGAATGCAGTGGGAATGGGCTGGGAATGGTGTGGGAATGTCACCACCCAGGTGACACCCGGTGCTGTCACAGTGCCAAATGTGTGGCCCAGCACAAGGGGGCTTCCCACAAGGTGAGGAGATCCCAGTAATACCAAATCCCGGGATTTGGGGTGCCTGGGAATGGGGGAATGGGCTGGGAATGGTGTGGGGATGTCACCACCCAGGTGACACCCGGTGCTGTCACAGTGCCAAATGTGTGGCCCAGCACAAGGGGGCTTCCCACAAGGTGAGGTTGGTGGGTTTTTGGGGTGGGCTTTTGGTGGGTTTTTGGGGTGGGCATCGTGGGCTTTTGGGGTGGGCTTCTGGTGGGTTTTTGGGGTGGGCATGGTGGGCTTCTGGGGTGGACATCGTGGGTTTTTGGTGGGCTTTTGGTGGGTTTTTGGGGTGGTGGCACAAAGGACTGGCTGCGGCGCCGGCCTGTGCTGCAGTTCCACAGTGGGCACAAGAGCAACGTCTTCCAGGTGGGCATGGTGGGCTTCTGGGGTGGGCGTGGTGAGCTTTTGGGGTGGGTGTGGTGGGCTTTTGGTGGGCTTTTGGGGTGGGCATGGTGGGCTTTTGGTGGGCTTTTGGGGTGGGAGCACAAAGGACTGGCTGCGGCGCCGGCCTGTGCTGCAGTTCCACAGCGGGCACAAGAGCAACGTCTTCCAGGTGGGCGTGGTGGGCTTCTGGTGGGCTTCTGGTGTGGGTGTGGTGGGCTTTTGGTGGGTTTTTGGGGCGGGCATGGTGGGCTTCTGGGGTGGACATCGTGGGTTTTTGGGGTGGGCTTCTGGTGGGTTTTTGGGGTGGGCATGGTGGGCTTCTGGGGTGGACATCGTGGGTTTTTGGGGTGGGCGTCGTGGGTTTTTTGGTGGGCTTTTGGTGGGTTTTTGGGGTGGTGGCACAAAGGACTGGCTGCGGCGCCGGCCCGTGCTGCAGTTCCACAGCGGGCACAAGAGCAACGTCTTCCAGGTGGGCGTGGTGGGCTTTTGGTGGGCTTTTGGGCTGGGTGTGGTGGGCTTTTGGGGTGGGCATGGTGGGCTTTTGGGGATGTGTTGGCTGCATGGGTTTGCCAAAGTTTGTGGGGGATTTTTGAGGTGCTTTCAAAAATTCATCGTTCTAAGGGTCCCTGTTTGGGGTGGGAGAGGGTCCCAGGAAAATGTCACCTGGGCCAGGGGATGCTTGGGAAAGGGTCTGGGAACAGGTCACCAAATTCCAGAGACTGACACCCCAATTCCTGGGAGATTTTGGGATGATTCCCAGGGGACAGTTTGGGATGATTCCTGAGGGAACTTAGGAGGATTCCTGGGAGATTTTGGGATGATTCCCAGGGGAGACTTTGGGATGATTCCCAAGAGAACTGTGACAATTCCCAGAACAACTCCAGCAATTCCCCCCATCCCTTTCCCCCTCCCACCTCCTCTGCGACTCCCCCTCTCCTTTTACCACCTCCCTGACCCTTTTTCCCACTTTTCCCCCGTTTTCCCTCTTTTCCAGGCCAAGTTCCTGCCCAACAGCGGTGACTCCACGCTGGCCATGTGTGCCCGGGACGGGCAGGTGCGCGTGGCCGAGCTCTCGGCCACCCAGTGCTGCCGCAGCACCAAGCGCGTGGCCCAGCACAAGGGGGCTTCCCACAAGGTGAGGGGGGCTTGGGAATGCCAAATCCCGGGATTTGGGGTGCTTGGGGATGGGGGAATGCAGTGGGAATGGGCTGGGAATGGTGTGGGAATGTCACCACCCAGGTGACACCCGGTGCTGTCACAGTGCCAAATGTGTGGCCCAGCACAAGGGGGCTTCCCACAAGGTGAGGAGATCCCAGTAATACCAAATCCCGGGATTTGGGGTGCCTGGGAATGGGGGAATGGGCTGGGAATGGTGTGGGGATGTCACCACCCAGGTGACACCCGGTGCTGTCACAGTGCCAAATGTGTGGCCCAGCACAAGGGGGCTTCCCACAAGGTGAGGGGGGGCTTGGGAATGGCAAATCCCGGGATTTGGGGTGCTTGAGGTGCTTGGGATTTGGGAATGACAAATCCTGGGATTGGGGGTGCTTGGGAATGGGGGAACGCAGTGGGAATGGGGTGGGAGAAATGGTGGGAGCAGGGCATGTCACCACGGAGGTGACAGAGCTGCCACAGCACCAAGTGCGTGGCCCAGCAAAAGGAAGCCTCCCACAAGGTGAGGAGATCCCAGTAATACCAAATCCCGGGATTTGGGGTGCCTGGGAATGGGGGAATGGGCTGGCAATGGTGTGGGGATGTCACCACAGAGGTGACAGAGCTGCCACAGCACCGAGTGCGTGGCCCAGCAAAAGGAAGCCTCCTGCAACATGAGGTGGGGCTTGGGAATGGCAAATCCCGGGATTGGGGTGCTTGGGATTTGGGAGTGGCAAATCCCGGGATTTGGGGTGCTTGAGGTGCTTGGGTTTTGGGAATGACAAATCCTGGGATTTGGGGTGCCGGGGAATGGGGGAACGCCGTGGGAATGGGATGGGAGCAGGGAATGTCACCACGGAGGTGACAGAGCTGCCACAGCACGGAGCCCAGCACAAGGGGCCTTCCCACAAGGTGAGAGGGATCCCAGGAATGGCAAATCCTGGGAATGACAAATCCCAGGATTTGGGGTGCTTGGGAATGGGGGAGATCTTTTCCTGGAGATCCGAGGGGTTTTTAGGAGAAAGGAAGGGATTTTCCCACTTTCTGTGCAGCGGAAATCAATTCCCAAATATTTCAAGCCTTGGATGTGGCCATTGTCACCTTTGATGTCACCGCGCAGGTGAGGGGGGTGGGTTTGGCCACTCAGCTCCATTAAAATCCAGGAATTTTGGGATTTTCCCACTTTTTGGGTGCAGTTCAGACCCTTGGCTGTGCTGTTGTCCCCATGACGTCACCCAGATGGCATCGCTGAAGTTCGGGGCGGGAATCCCCAAACCTGGCGTTTTTCCAGGTGGATTTTCCTGGTTTTTTGTGATTTTTGAGAGTTGTTCTCACTGTTTTTTCCCTTTTTTTCCCCCAACCCCAGCTGGCGCTGGAGCCAGACTCGCCCTGCACGTTCCTGTCTGCGGGGGAGGACGCCGTGGTCTTCACCATCGACCTGCGGCAGGACCGGCCCGCCTCGTGAGTGAGGGGAAAAGGGGGAATTCTGAGGGGAAAAGTGGGAATTCTGGGCAGGAGATGGGAATTCTGTGGGTGAAATGGGAATTCTGTGGGGAAGAAAGGGGATTTGGGGTGGGAAATGGGGATTCCATTGACCTGCGGCAGAATGGGCCTGCCTCGTGACTGACTGGAAAATTGGGAATTCTGAGGGGAAAATGGAGAATTCTTAGGGGAAAATGGAGAATTCTGAGGAGAAAATCAGGAATTCTGGGTGGGAAATGGGAATTCTGTGGGGAAAAAAGGGTATTTGGGGTGGGAAATGGGGATTCCATTGATCTGTGGCAGGACCGGCCTGCCTCGTGAGTGACTGGAAAATTTGGAATTCTGAGGGGAAAAGTGGGAATTCTGAGGGGAAAATCAGGAATTCTAGGTGGGAAGTGGGAGTTCTGTGGGGGGGAAAGGGAATTTGTGATGGGAAATGGGGATTCCATTGATCTGTGGCAGGACCAGCCTGCCTTGTGAGCAAGGGGAAAAATGGGAATTCTGAGGGGAAAAGTTGGAATTCTGAGGGGAAAATGGAGAATTCTATGGAGGAAATGGGGAATTCTGTGCAGGAAGAGGGAATTCTGTGGGTGAAATGGGAATTCTGTGGGGAAAAAAGGGTATTTGGGGTGGGAAATGGGGATTCCATTGGTCTGAAATAGGATCGGCCTGCATCACAGGTGATCAGAAAATGGGGAATTCTGAGGGGAAAATTTGGAATTGTGAGGGGAAATTTGAGAATTCTGAGGGGGAAAATGGGAATTCTGGGCAGGAAATGGGAAAGAGGTGGGTTTTGGGGAAAAATCAGGGTTTTTTTGGGAAATCAGGGATTTTTGGGAAAATCAGGTTATTTTTGTGGGGAAAATGGGTTGGGTGTTTTTTGGAAATCGAGATTTTTGCAGGAAAATTTGATATGTTTTGTGGGAACATAAATATTTTTGGGGAAAAAATGGAATTTTTTTAGCAAACGGGTTTTTTGGGGGGGAAATTGAATTTTTTTTTTTTTTAAACCAGAGGAATTTTGTGAGAAAACATTTTTTTGGGGGTGGAAATCAGGTTGTTTTTTTGGGAAAAACAACTGTTTTTTGAGGAAAAAACCACTTTTTTGACGAAAATGAGGGACTTTTTTGGAATTTTTTTAGCAAATGGATTTTTTGGGCAGGGGGGGAGTAGAATTTCTTTTTTTTTAACCAGAGGAATTTTGTGAGAAAACATTTTTTTGGGGGTGGAAATCAGGTTGTTTTTTTGGGAAAAACAACTGTTTTTTGAGGAAAAACCACTTTTTTGATGAAAATGAGGAACTTTTGTGCAAAACCTGATTACTTTTATAGGGAAAACCAGGTTTTTTTTGTGAGAAAAGCAGAGATTTTTTGGGGAAAAGCAGTTTTTCTGTCTGCCTGTGTTTTTCCAAGCCTCCAGGCTGTCATTCTGGAGGACCACTTTTTTGACGAAAATGAGGGACTTTTGTGCAAAACCTGATTACTTCTATAGGGAAAACCAGTTTTTTTTTTGTGGGAAAAGCAGGGATTTTTTGGGGAAAAGCAGTTTTTCTGTCTGCCTGTGTTTTTCCAAGCCTCCAGGCTGTCATTCTGGAGGCTGATCCAGCCCAAATCCCGGGGTTTCATAACCAGGACGAGCCCTTTAATCCCTGATCCCGCCGGAATCCGCGGCTGGAGCTGATCCCAGCCCCCTCCCTGGGCTCCATCCCTTTGGAATTCTCACCCTGCCAGAGCCAACCCCACATTTTCCCTCCTGGAATGGCCCAAATTCCCTCAAATTCCAGCTGTTTTCAGGGATTTTTTTTTGAAAAATTGGGGTTTTTTGGGGGAAAAAGAATGGGGATTTTGGGGGGAAAATTAGGATCCTGGGCGGAATAATGCGGATTTTAGTGGGGGGAAAGGTGGACAGGAAAATGAGGATTCTGTCAGGAAAATGGGGAGGTTTTTTGTTTGAAAAATGGGAATTTGGTAGGGAAAACATGCAGGATTTGGGAAATAACAGATGGAGTTCGGGGAAAAATCGGGGTTTTTTTGGGAAATCACATTTCTCTTGGGAACTCCCACCTGTCCTCTGGGCTGGATCCCTTTGGAATTTTGCCCTGGTGGAGTCAACCCTTAATATTTCTCTCCTGGAATGCCCCAAATTCCCAGAAATCCCAAATATTGGAGGGGAGAACTTTCCCAAATCCCATTTTCCCTTTGGGAATTCTCCCAGTGTGGATTTTTCCTTGGGGAAATTCCCAACCTTGGGAACATTCCCCACCCTCATTGCCCAAATCCTGCTGATTGTGGGGATTTCCTCCCCTGGGAATTCCCGCTCCTGATTTGGGCTGCGATTTGGGGCTGGGATTTGGGCTGGGATTGGGCCTGGGATGTGGGGGGATTGGGGCTGGGATTTGGGGCTGGGGTTGGGGCTGAGATTTGGGGGGATTTTGGCTGGGACTGGGGCTGGGATTGGGGCTGGGATTTGGGGGGTTTGGGACTGGAATTTGGGGGGTTTGGGGCTGGGATTTGGGTTGGGATTTGGGTTGGGATTTGGGCTGGGGTTGGGGCTGAGATTTGGGGGGTTTGGGGCTGGGATTTGGGCTGGGATTTGGGGGGATTGGGCTATAGGGAAAACCAGTTTTTTTTTGTGGGAAAAGCAGGGATTTTTTGGGGAAAAGCAGTTTTTCTGTCTGCCTGTGTTTTTCCAAGCCTCCAGGCTGTCATTCTGGAGGCTGATCCAGCCCAAATCCCGGGGTTTCATAACCAGGACGAGCCCTTTAATCCCTGATCCCGCCGGAATCCGCGGCTGGAGCTGATCCCAGCCCCCTCCCTGGGCTCCATCCCTTTGGAATTCTCACCCTGCCAGAGCCAACCCCACATTTTCCCTCCTGGAATGGCCCAAATTCCCTCAAATTCCAGCTGTTTTCAGGGATTTTTTTTTGAAAAATTGGGGTTTTTTGGGGGAAAAAGAATGGGGATTTTGGGGGGAAAATTAGGATCCTGGGCGGAATAATGCGGATTTTAGTGGGGGGAAAGGTGGACAGGAAAATGAGGATTCTGTCAGGAAAATGGGGAGTTTTTTTTTTAAAAAATGGGAATTTGGTAGGGGAAACTTGCAGGATTTAGGAAATAACAGATGGAGTTCGGGGAAAAATCGGGGTTTTTTTGGGAAATCACATTTCCCTTGGGAATTCCAACCTGTCCTCTGGGCTGGATCCCTTTGGAATTTTGCCCTGGTGGAGTCAACTCTTAATATTTCTCTCCTGGAATGCCCCAAATTCCCAGAAATCCCAAATATTGGAGGGGAGAACTTTCCCAAATCCCATTTTCCCTTTGGGAATTCTCCCAGTGTGGATTTTTCCTTGGGGAAATTCCCAACCTTGGGAACATTCCCCACCCTCATTGCCCAAATCCTGCTGATTGTGGGGATTTCCTCCCCTGGGAATTCCCGCTCCTGATTTGGGCTGCGATTTGGGGCTGGGATTTGGGCTGGGATTGGGCCTGGGATGTGGGGGGATTGGGGCTGGGATTTGGGGCTGGGGTTGGGGCTGAGATTTGGGGGGATTTTGGCTGGGACTGGGGCTGGGATTGGGGCTGGGATTTGGGGGGTTTGGGACTGGAATTTGGGGGGTTTGGGGCTGGGATTTGGGTTGGGATTTGGGTTGGGATTTGGGCTGGGGTTGGGGCTGAGATTTGGGGGGTTTGGGGCTGGGATTTTGGGCTGGGATTTGGGTTGGGATTTGGGGGGTTTGGGGCTGGGATTTGGGCTGGGATTTGGGCTGGGATTTGGGGGGATTGGGGCTGGGATTTGGGCTGGGATTTGGGGGGATTTGGGCTGGGACTGGGCTGATCCCGAGGGTTTCCCAGGAAATTGGTGGTGACGAAGGAGAAGGAGAAGAAGGTCGGGCTCTACACCATCTTTGTCAACCCTGCCAACACCTCCCAGTTCGCTGTGGGCGGCCGCGACCAGTTCGTCAGGTGGGGCTGAACTGGGAGCACTGGGAGAGCCCAAATCCTGGGATTTCCCTTCCCAAATCCATGATTTCCCTTCCCAAATCCATGATTTCCCCTGCCCAGTTTGCCTTTCTCAAATCCAACTTTTGCCCTTCCCAAATCCATTATTTCCCTGTCCCAAATCAGGGGCCAGGACCAGTTTGGGAAGTGAGGCCAAACTGGGAGCACTGGGAGAGCCCAAATCCAGGAATTTCCCATCCCAAATCCACAATTCCCCATCCCAAATCCAGGAATTCCCCATCCCAAATCCAGGGATCCCCCATCCCAAATCCAGGCATTCCCAAATCTGCCTCTTTCCCTTCCCAAATCCCCAATTTTGCCTTCCCAAATCCAGGACTAGGACCAGCACAGAATTCCAGGGAATTTTAGGATGGAATCTGGGGCATGGGAATGTTTTTTCTGCCCCAATTCCCCAGGGAATTTTAGGATGGAATCTGGGGCATGGGAATGTTTTTTCTGCCCCAATTCCCCAGGGAATTTTAGGCTGCAATTCAGACCATGGGAACATCATTCCTGCCTCAACCCCCCAGGGAATTTTTAGATGGAATTCAGACCATGGGAACATAATTTCTGTCCCAAATCTGGGCCTATCCTGGCACAAAAATCCCAGGGAATTTTAGGATGGAATTTTGAGCCCTGGGATCTCAGAATTTTGAGGATAAAAAAATCCTCCCTGGAGTGAATCCAACCTTTCTTATTTTTTTTTTTCTCTTCCCCTTGATTCCTGCAGGATTTATGACCAGAGGAAAATCGACGAGAACGAGAACAACGGAGTCCTGAAGAAGTTCTGCCCCCACCACCTGGTACTGGGGATACTGGGAGCACTGGGAGGGGACTGGGAGCACTGGGATCACCCGAGAGCAATCCCATGGCAAGAAGCTGCTCCTTTTCCTGGAGAATCCTTCAGGAAGAGGCAGAAACAACTCCCAAAAATCTCTTTTTTTTGGTTTTTTTTCCCCTCAATCTTCATTTTTTGCCTCCCTGCGTCCTCATCTGGGGGTTTGACACTCGGAATTCCCAGGAAAAGGGGCTGGAGCTGAGCTTTTTCCCACTTTTCCAGGTGAACTGCGAGTCCAAAGCCAACATCACCTGCCTGGTCTACAGCCACGACGGCTCAGGTGAGTCCAGGTGGGAATCTGGGCAGTTCTGGGGGGTCCCACCCCCTCAAACCCCCTCATTTCCCACCCAAAAAAAATCAGGTTTTCCAAAAAAATACCCATTTTCCCAAAAAACACCTGTTTATCCTCAAACAAACATCTCTTCCCCCAGAAAACCTGACTTCCCCCCTGCCAAATTCCATATTTTCCAAAATAAAAATAATTCCCCCCCCCAAAAAAACCTGTTGAGTTCCAGACCCTCCTGTTTTTCTCCATTTTCCTCCTGCTTTTCCCATTTTCCTCCCATTTTTTCCAATTTTCTTGCTGGTTTTCCCCTTTCCCCCATTTTTTCCTCTTTCCCCATTTTCCCTGCTGCTTTTCCCCATTCCCCCCATTTTTTCTCCATTTTCCTCCTCTTTTTTCCCATTTTTCCCATTTTCCCCATTTTCCTCCCATTTTTCCCCATTCACCCCTGTTTTTTCCCATTTTCCTCCTGCTTTTCCCATTTTCCTCCCATTTTTTCTCCATTTTCCTGCTATTTTTTCCCATTTTTCCCATTTTTCCCCATTTTCCTCCCATTTTCCTCCCATTTTTTCCCATACACCCCTGTTTTTTCCCATTTTCCTCCTGCTTTTCCCATTTTCCTCCCATTTTTTCCCATTCACCCCTGTTTTTTCCCATTTTCTCCTGTTTTTCCCCATTCCCCTTCTCCCCATTTTTTCCCTTTTTCCTCCCTTTTTTTCCCATTCACCCCTGTTTTTTCCCATTTTCCTCCTGTTTTTCCCCTTTCCTCATTCCCCTTCTCCCCATTTTTTCCCTTTTCCCCATTTTCCTCCTGCTTTTCCCATTTTCCTCCCATTTTTTCTCCATTTTCCTACTGTTTTTTCCCTTCCCCCAATTCTCCTCCCATTTTTCCCATTTCCCTCCCATTTTTTCCCATTCACCCCTGCTTTTTCCCATTTTCTCCTGTTTTTCCCCATTCCCCTTCTCCCCATTTTTTCCCTTTTCCCCATTCCTCCCATTTTTCCCCCATTCCCCATTCACCCCTGTTTTTTCCCATTACTGTTTTTTCCCTTCCCCCATTTTCCCCATTTTCCTCCCATTTTTCCCCTTTTCCTTCTCTTTTTTCCCATTTTTCCCATTCTCCCCATTTTCCCCATTTTCCTCCCATTTTTCCCCATTCACCCCTGTTTTTTCCCATTTTCTCCTGTTTTTCCCCATTCCCCTTCTCCCCATTTTTCCCTTTTCCCCATTTTCCTGCTGCTTTTCCCATTTCCCCTCTATTTTTCCCCATTTCCCCAGCGTTTTTCCTCAATTCCCCCCCATTTATCCCCCATTCCCCCTGTTTTTATTCACAATTTCCCTGTGATTGTTCCCATTTTCCCATTTTTTCCCGTTTTTTCCCCGTTGCAGAGCTGCTGGCCTCCTACAACGACGAGGACGGCGTTTTTCCTCAATTCCCCCCCCTTTATCCCCCATTCCCCCCTGTTTTTATTCCCAATTTCCCTGTGTTTGTTCCCATTTTCCCATTTTTTCCCGTTTTTTCCCCGTTGCAGAGCTGCTGGCCTCCTACAACGACGAGGACATTTACCTGTTCGACTCGGCGCACAGCGACGGCGCGCAGTACAGCCGGCGCTACAAGGGCCACCGCAACAACGCCACGGGTAACGCCCGGCTCACCCCAAAATCACCCCAAAACCAGCCCCAAATCCATCCCACATCACCCCAAAACCAGCCCCAAATCCATCCCACATCACCCCAAAACCAGCCCCAAATCCATCCCACATCACCCCAAAACCAGCCCCAAATCCATCCCACATCACCCCAAAACCAGCCCCAAATCCATCCCAAATCACCCCAAAAACAGCCCCTAAGCCAGCGCAGTACAGCCGCCCTACAAGGGCCACCGCAACAACGCCACGGGTAACACCCAGGTCACCCCAAAAACAGCCCCAAATCCATCCCAAATCACCCCAAAACCAGCCCCAAATCACCCCGAAACCAGCCCCAAATCCATCCCAAATCACCCCAAAAACAACCCCTAAACCAGCGCAGTACAGCCGGCGCTACAAGGGCCACCGCAACAACGCCACGGGTAACGCCCGGGTCACCCCAAAAACAGCCCCAAAACACCCCAAAAATGGCCTGAAACCACCCCAAAACCAGCCCAGGAACAGCCCAAAAAAATCCCAAAACCAGCCCTAAACCAGCGCGGTACAGCCGGCGCTACAAGGGCCACCGCAACAACGCCACGGGTAACGCCCGGGTCACCCCAAAAACAGCCCCAAATCCATCCCAAATCACCCCAAAACCGCCCCAAATCCATCCCAAATCACCCCAAAACCAGCCCCAAACTCAGCCCAGGAACAGCTCCAAATCACCCCAAAACCAGCCCTAAAACAGCCCAGAAACACCCTGAAAACAGTCCCCAAAAAGCCCAAAATTACCCCAAAACCAGCCCTGAAACAGTCCAGAAACAGCCTGAAAAAATCAACCCTAAACCCACCCCAAAATCAGCCTTCAATCAGCCCTAAAATACCCCAAAATCAACCCTGAAACAGTCCAGAAACAGCCTGAAAAAATCAACCCTAAACCCCCCCCAAAATCAGCCTTCAATCAGCCCTAAAATACCCCAAAATCAACCCTGAAACAGTCCAGAAACAGCCTGAAAAAATCAACCCTAAACCCCCCCCAAAATCAGCCTTCAATCAGCCCTAAAATACCCCAAAATCAACCCTAAATCCTTCCCCAAATTACCTCAGAATCAACACCAAAATAAACCCTAAATCAGCTTAAATCACCCCAAAATCACCCCAAAGTCAGCCCAAAATCAGCCCTAAAACACCCCTAAATGCAACCCCAAAATAGCCCTAAACCCCCCCAAAAACCCCCCTGGAGCTCCCTAAAAACCCTTCTGGGAACATCTCCTTGGCCTCCCGGGCAGGAATTCCAGTGGAGACAACCCCACCTCCCATTTTTTCCTGTTGTTCCCTGATTTTTCCCGTTTTCCCCTGTTTTCCCCCCGTTTTCCCAGTCAAAGGGGTGAATTTCTACGGCCCCAAGAGCGAGTTCGTGGTGAGCGGCAGCGACTGCGGCCACATTTTCCTGTGGGAAAAATCCTCCTGCCAGATCGTGCAGTTCATGGAAGGGGACAAGGGCGGAGTGGTGAGACCCCAAAATTCCCAAAATTCCCCCCACCCATCCCCTTTTCCCTCTGTTCCCACCCCAGAAGCGGCGGGATGGCCCCGTCCCCGTTTTCCAGGGGTTTGAGGGTGGGGCAGGATCCCAAATTTGGCCGATTCCCCAGGAGCCTCTGGGATTTTTCCAGGTGTTTCCTGCAGGAAAGGGAAGTGCCTGTGCTGGGAATTCATCCCGAATTTCCTCTGCTGGCAACTCCTGGCTCTCCTGCTTTGGGATGGGCAGGAAGGGCCCCTTCCCTTTCCCCCCCTTTTTTCCCTCTTTTCCCCCTTTTTTCCCTTTTTTACTCATTTTCTCACCCCATTTTTCCCTGTTTTTTCCCAGGTGAGCTGCACCCTCACCTTCCCCATTCCCAATCCCACTCTCAATCCAATTTTTCCCCTTTTTCTCACTTTTCCCCCATTTTTCCCAGGTGAATTGCCTGGAGGGGCAGCTCCCCCATTCCCAATCCCATTCCTGATCCCAAAATCCCCATTTTCCCCATTTTTCCCAGGTGAACTGCCTGGGATTGCCATTCCCAATCCCATTCCCAATATCCCCATTTTCCCCAGGTGAACTGCTTGGGATTGCCATTCCCAACCCCAAAATCCCCATTTTTCCCAGGTGAACTGCCTGGAGCCTCACCCCCATTCCTAATCCCATTCCCAACTCCAAATTCCCATTTTTCCCCTTTTTTCCCCATTTTTTCCCAGGTGAACTGCCTGGGACTGCCATTCCCAATCCCATTCCCAACCCCCAAATCCCCACTTTTCCCACTTTTCCCATTTTTCCCAGGTGAACTGCCTGGAGCCTCACCCCCATTTGCCTGGGACTGCCCTTCACTTTTCCCACTTTTCCCATTTTTCCCAGGTGAACTGCCTGGGACTGCCCTTCCCAATCCCATTCCCAACCCCAAAATCCCCATTTTCCCCATTTTTCCCATTTTCCCAGGTGAACTGCCTGGGACTGCCCTTCCCAATCCCATTCCCAACCCCAAAATCCCCATTTTCCCCATTTTTCCCATTTTCCCAGGTGAACTGCCTGGGACTGCCCTTCCCAATCCCATTCCCAACCCCAAAATCCCCATTTTCCCCATTTTTCCCATTTTCCCAGGTGAACTGCCTGGGACTGCCCTTCCCAATCCCATTCCCAACCCCAAAATCCCCATTTTCCCCATTTTTCCCATTTTCCCAGGTGAACTGCCTGGAACCTCACCCCCATTCCCAATCCCATTCCCAATATCCCCATTTTCCCAGGTGAACTTCCTGGGATTGCCATTCCCAATCCCCAAAATCCCCATTTTCCCCATTTTTCCCATTTTCCCAGGTGAACTGCCTGGAGCCTCACCCCCATTCCCAACCCCAAATCCCCATTTTCCCATTTTCCCAGGTGAACTGCCTGGAGCCTCACCCCCACCTGCCCGTGCTGGCCACCAGCGGGCTGGACCACGACGTGAAGATCTGGGCGCCCACGGCCGAGGCGCCCACGGAGCTGCGGGGCCTCAAGGAGGTGGGTGGGCCCGGGATTCCCTGGGATCTGACCGGGGATTTCCTTGGGATCTGGCCCGGGATTTCCTTGGGATCTGACCCGGGATTTCCTTGGGATCTGACCCGGGATTTCCTTGGGATCTGGCCCGGGATTTCCCTGGGATCTGACCCGGGATTTCCTTGGAATCTGACCTGGGTTTTCCTTGGAATGTGACCCAGGATTTCCTTGGAATCTGACTCGGGATTTCCTTGGAATGTGACCCAGAATTTCCTTGGAACGTGACCCAGGATTTCCATGCAATGTGCCCTGGGATTTCCAGAATCTGACCCGGGATTTCCTTGGAATCTGACCTAGGTTTTCCTTGGAATGTGACCCGTGTTTTCCATGGAATCTGCCCTGGGATTTCCACAGAATCTGACCTGGGTTTTCCATGGAATGAGCCCCGGGATTCCCATGACATCTGACCTGGGTTTTCCTTGCAATCTGACCCGGGATTTCCATGGAATCTGGCCTGGGTTTTCCATGGAATGTGACCCGGGTTTTCCATGGAATGTGACCTGTGTTTTTCATGGAATGTGCCCTGGGATTTCCACAGAATGGGACCTGGGCTTTCCATGGAACGAGCCCTGGGATTCTCATGGAAAGTGCCCCAGGATTCCCATGGAAAGAGCCCCGGGATTCCCATGGAAAGAGCCCCGGGATTCCCATGGAAAGAGCCCCGGGATTCCCATGGAAAGTGCCCCGGGATTCCCATGGAATGAGCCCCGGGATTCCCGTGGGATTTAACCCTTCTCTCCCCAGGTGATCAAGAAGAACAAGGTGGAGCGGGACGAGGACAGCCTGCACCACACGGACATGTTCGACAGCCACATGCTCTGGTTCCTGATGCACCACCTGCGCCAGCGCCGCCACCACCGGGTACTGCGCTGCTGCTGCTTCTTTTCCTTGTTTTTCCTCCACTTTTTCCTGCCTTTTCCCTGCTTTTCCCACTTTTCCCTGCTTTCCCCCTCTTTTCCCTGCTTTTCCCCCACTTTTCCCTTCCTTCACAGCTTTTTCCCTGGGACCAGCCCTAGCCCTAGACTGATTTCCTGACTAGGTCGACCCGCACTTTCCCTGCTTTTCCTCCACTTTTCCCTGCCTTTTCCCTGCTTTTAACCCACTTTCCTTGTTTTCCCCCACTTTTCCCTGCTTTTCCCCCACTTTTCCCTGCTTTTTCTGACCGTTTCCCCCATTCCCGACCCCATTTTCCCCATTCATTACCCCATTTCCCCATTTCCCCATTTCTGACCCCATTTCCCCATTCCTGACCCATTCCTGCCCCCTTTTCCCCATTCCTGCCCCCATTTCCCTCCCCATTTCTCACCCCATTTCTGCCCATTTCCTCCATTCCTGACCCGTTCCTGACCCCATTTCCCCTTTCTCACCCCATTTCTCACCCCATTTCTCACCCTGTTTCTCACCCCCTTTTCCCATTTCTCACCCCATTTCTCACCCCGTTTCTCACCCTGTTTCTCACCCCCTTTCCCCGTTTCTCACCTCATTTCTCACCCCATTTTTCCCATTTCTCACCCCATTCCTGCCCCCCTTTCCCCATTCCTGCCCCCATTTCCCCCTTCATTTCTCACCCCATTTCTGCCCATTTCCTCCATTCCTGACCCGTTCCTGACCCCATTTCTCACCTTATCACCCCAATCCTCGCCCTATTTCTCACCCCCTTTTCCCATTTCTCACCCCATTTCTCACCCCGTTTCTCACCCTGTTTCTCACCCCCTTTCCCCGTTTCTCACCTCATTTCTCACCCCATTTTTCCCATTTCTCACCCCATTCCTGCCCCCCTTTCCCCATTCCTGCCCCCATCTCCCCCTTTCTCCCCCCATTTCTCTCCCCGTTTCTCACCCCACCTCTGCCCATTTCCCCATTTCTCACCCCATTTTTCCCGTTTCACCCCCCATTCCCCCATTTCCCCCCCATTTCTCACCCCATTTCCCCCTTTCTCACCCTGTTTCTCACCCCATTTCCCCATTTCCCACCCCATTTCCCCATCCCTGCCCCATTTCTCACCCCATTTTTCCCCTTTCTCACCCCATTTTTCACCCCATTTCTCACCCCGTTTCTCGTTTCTCACCCTGTTTCTCCCCCCATTTCCCCATTTCTTACCCCATTTTCCCCTTTCTCACCCCGTTTCTCACCCCATTTCCCCATCCCTGCCCCAT